TATGCACAAACAATCATGGAACACTACATCAAAAACTAATGATGTAATGTATGGTGATTAACATAACAATAAAAAAATTTAAAGAAAAAAAATGCCCCTGCCCTCCAAAACATTCATATGCCCAAATAAAAATAATTTATATAAATGATGCATAATACACATTGAAAATATGAAATATATTAAATAAAAATTTAAGTAAGTTTGTATTGTATTTACTCTTTCACTGGTTAAGGCCTAAGTATACATACACATTTGGGATTCAGGAAGAAAGACCTCATAGATGAGAAGGGTCCTCCCCATCTATGAATAACCCTTACGCGTTACTGGGTATGGGTAACCCGGATCCAAGGGATCCTCCTTACCTTCCTTTCTGTGCCCCACCACCAATTCTCCATTGTTTTCAAGTTCAAAACAGCTGGGGAATAGTGCATTTTTTGTTATGATTCAAAATGATACAGTCCTTTCTCTTGCAGTTAGAGTTGCTGCCTCTTAAATTAGAGGGGCCTTTCTTACTGGATTGGATGAAAATAAAGGGTCCCTATTATTCCCAAGTCAGAATTTTTAATACACTTTCACAGAAACAGTGTTTTTTGTGAGAGTTAGGTATATAGCTAAAGTGATATTACATACAGCCTTAATTTTAAAAGTCATACTTGTCCATTCTCAGACTTCTCTGTTTTCTTTCAGAGTTAAGTGATCTGGAAGAGCATTTTCTCCTCGGCAAAATGGACCTTTTCATATTCCTTTTAAACCTGTTTCTTCTTGGAGGTCTACCTCATTTTTTCCAGCTGAGCTCTGTACTCTTATAGGCCTTTTTAAAGATCCATCTTTACTTTATGTTAATCATATATCGATTTTTCTCATCCCAACTGTACTCTACATGTATTGAACATAAAGTTTCTTGTTTATCCTATGTCATCAACAGAATCTTGCCCAGTGTCTTGCATGTGTAGGTGCTCAATTAAATACATCACATGCATAAGGAAAGCTTAGATGGTTAATGCCAAAGTGGGGTGTTTTAAGTTAATTACCTCTGAGTGAAAATAGCTTTTTATAAGGTATAAGGTATTTAAATTGGCTTTTAAGATAGAAGGACTCCTAAGGCCAATAGCTTTCATTTCTGATGAATGGAAGCTATGGCCCTGCAGGTTATAAAACATACTAGTATAATTTTTAGAACTCAAATTGCATTCTTTTATGCCTGTCCAGAAAATGTAGTCCACATATAGAAGTTTCTTTGATAATATTCCAAATTACTGATCTTTTTGGGAATTACTGATTTTTTGAGACTCTTCATTGAAGCTCCCATACTCCCACATACATGCAACACACTCAGAAAAATGCACACACATTTACACAATTCTGTATACTATTTTTGAGAACTCATAGACCTCATGTTAAGAACTTCTGCATTAGATTCTAGAAGAGACTAGCTGACTAGTCAAGATGTGGCTTGATATGATAGAAAAATGTACTATATACAAAATCAGTTGATCTGAGTGAGTTCTAGCTCTTGTTCTACCTGTGATAAATGTGATGCCATTTGGCAGGTCATATAATCTCTCTTTACCTGTTTCTTTGTGAAGTTGTTGGAAAAGCGTGAATGAATGTAGTCCACCAATATACTTAGAATACTGTGCTGGGTATAATATGCTTCCCAGTTTTTGTTCCTGGTCTTTGTTTCTAACATTTCATGAAAGATTTCTGAATTTTGTGATGCTCTGTCTTTCCCTTAAGAAAATTACATTAGTGTATATGTGTATGTATGTATATATGTGTGTGTACACACACACACACACACTATTTTAAACTTGGGTAGCAATCAACTTACTATGTTACCCTGTAAGACAAGCAGTAAACTGTGCCCTGATCTTTTGAGACCTCTGTATAGACAATAGCAAATAACCTCGTTATTGCAGCGCTGCTATTGAGAATTCTGAGTCAGGACATCTGTGCCTGTCAGTGTGTAAAAGGAACTGGGGAGAGGAAGAGGGCTGAGAAGATCACTCAAGGTGTTATGTCAGTGTACTAGTGAAACTTAAAGCAGGTGAAGCTTTTCCCTATTATAGTTGCTAAGAACTTTAGTCTTTAGAGATTAGATATATTATGTCTTATGGAAAATCCATTATTGTTCATGTAAAATTCTTTATGAAAACAAATTCCATTGATGTTTGTTAGCAGTAAACAGATTGTGTTAAAAATATGTAACTTTTATGCATTATCTATAGTAAGACAAACACTTTTTATTTTTACTCTAATTAGGGAAGAAGACAAAAACATATTTGATTACTGCAGGGAAAACAACATTGACCATGTAACCAAAGTCATCAAATCGAAAAATGTGGATGTGAATATGAAAGATGAAGAGGTATGGAAAACATGCCTTGTTAATTATTTTCTTATGCTTTGTTATTCTGCCCCAGTGCTTTTTTTCAAAATGGCCTATGAACTACAGCTCAAAGTATAGTATGGTTAAGATTGTATCAGAATATCTATATGAGATAGTGTTACCCAGTTAAGATACTTTCTATGTATGTATCCATCCATCTGTTGATGTTGTGTAAGTTACTAGCTGAAACTTGCTGCAGTGGAATAACTTCTGTTTCTTCACAATAAACGGAGAGACTGTTAACCTAATAAGTGAAATCTGTAGGTAATATAAAAATATTTATAAATAGTTTTAGTGTCTTCTTTCATTATATTGCTCAGTAAATATATTTCTAGAAAACAATGTGTCAGAATTTTGATAAATCCATTCTTTTTCTTTTTTTTAAGAGAGGAAGAGAGAGAGATGGGGTGGGGGTGGGAGGGGCAGAGGGGGAGACTCTCAAGCAAGCTCCACACCCAGCACGGAGCCTGATGTGGGGCTAGATCTCACAACCCTGAGGTCATGACCTGAGCTGAAATTAAGAGTTGTCCCAACTGAGCCACCCGGGCTCCCTGGTAAATCCATTCGTTTAAACGTGGGCCTGCTATGTAAAGGGATTCTATACTAAATTATTTTGTAAAATATTTTACTTTTTATTTTATTTGTTTTGTGAATAAAACTGTTCACATTTTGAGCTTAAACTGTCCCTGAATTAATAGTTGTTAAATAGGGAGCAAAATTTACTAGTTCAGTTTTACTCATTTTACACATTCTTTGATAATGCAGTGAAAGATGATCAAAATGACTGAAAGGTGGCAATTGTTAGGAAGAAGACATGCAGTGATCATAGATAATGTGTGGAGTAGATAAATAATCAATGTACATACTGATAGCTCTTTATACAGGTTAGCCCTTAATATTATCTGATTGTTAACTAGTGTCTTTCCTGTAATACATTGTCAATGACATCTGGAAAGACTATAATTCTGTAGTATAGGGGGACCAGTAATAGTGTTTGTTCTCCCCTAAGTAATGAAACAAACAGCTAAGAAAGATGTAGCTAGAGAAGAGTAGAAGCCAGATTGGGAAATAATAAAACCAGGTCTTTTGATCCAACTAGGGTGTTTTTTGCCTTTCAGGATTAGAATACATTTTTTTTTCCCTAGTAAATCAGGTGTTACTGCTTCCCTTGACTTTATTGTTGTTTTTTATTTTTGTACTTGGGAGTTAAGATTTTTATAAAATTAATACACGTAGGTAGTTCAACAAAAATCAGTACTATAAGTCTTCTAACAAAAAAGTATTCCCTTACCTGTACCCTTCTCATATTGATTCTAGCTCCCTTGAGGCAAAAACTTTCAATTCTTCTCATTGTTTCTTTTGCAATTTACCTGCATATTTCTTTTTTTTTTTTAGATTTTATTTATTTATTTGACAGAGAGACACAGCAAGAGAGAGGGAACACAAGCAGGGGGAGTGGGAGAGGGAGAAGCAGGCTTCCCGCGGAGCAGGGAGCCCATTGCGGGGCTCCATCCCAGGACCCCGGGATCATGACCTGAGCCGAAGGCAGACGCTTAACGACTGAGCCACCCAGGCGCCCCCTACCTGCATATTTCTAAATAACATATATGTATCTCTTGATTTTTCAACTTTAGCCATTATTGATTTTCTTTTCTGCTATTTTAGGATTTAGCTGTTTTACTCATATTCCCCTCTCCTCTTCCCACCCTCCTAACAGTTATGTCACAACATTTAGTTTCATTTTCTGATTGAATCTCTACAGAATCAATGTTAAAATATCATTATTATTTTATAATTAACGATAGTATAGGTGTAGAGTAATTATATTATTATTTCTATGTAAATTATACTCACTGCTGAGCTTTAGGTGGTACTGGGTGTCCTAGTCAGTTTTTGCTGTTGGCCACATTTCATTGGTTAATAACTACATTTATTTCTTGCTCATATTTCAAAAGGGTTTGCATCAGTTCGGCTCTGCTATGTTAGCTAGCCTTGTTTGGGCTCAGTTCATCTCAATTTCATGTATCTTCTCATTCTCATTCTGAGATCTCATTGGATAGACACTGTCTGGGGCAGAACTAAGGGCAGACTGAATCAGACCCCACAAATACATTTAAACCTTTGCTTAGATGTAGCATGTGTCAACATCTACTCACATTCCTTTGGCCAAAACAAGTCACGAGACCAAACTCCAGGTCTGGATGGTAGGAAACCTTTTCTGACAACAGGGAAGCAATGCACAGGTGGGAAGGAAATGAATAATTATATAATTATGAATAATATAATCTACATGCCATGGTACAACATTCTGTTTTTCTGAAGGCTAATCATTGCTTTTTTTTTTTGTTTTCATGTTATATCTTCTATGTTTCTATCATTAATTCTTTCCTCAAATTGCCCAGCAGAGATCTTCTGTGTGCATACACACACATCAGGTCATCAATCCCTTACTGAGTGATGTCCCTTCTGGAGCTCTCCTTTCTTTTTCTCTAATCTCACCTGGGTGCCCTCTGGGCCTGTTGTGTAGGTGTCATCCTGGGATTACGCTTTACCACTGTCTTGGGAATTCCCTTCCCTTCTCTCCCTGTTTTCTGGATCCCAGGTCTTTTATTATTTATTTCCTTGTTTAGATGAAGTGTCTCCTCCAGTAGCTTCCTTTTTTATTTATTTCCCAGTTTTGATGGAGCATTTCCTCTAGTAGCTTCCTGAGAAAGGTAAATGTTTTGAGATCTTCCGTGTTCAAAATGTCTCAATTAGAGTTTTGGGCATATTCCATATGCTCAATAAATATTTGATGAACTAATGAATGATTAAATGAATGAATAAGTAGGAGCAGTATATTATAGGGTTGCCTGGGTGGCACAGTTGGTTGAGTGACTCTTGGTTTCAGGTCAGGTCGTGATCTTGGGGTCATGAGATCGAGCCCCATGTTGGGCTCCATGCTTAGTGCAGAGTCTGCTTGAGATTCTCTGTCTCCCTTTCCCTGCTCCTCCCTCCCACTTGTGCGTGCCCTCTCTTTCTCTCGCTCTACGATATAAATAAATCAATCTTTAAAAAGAAAAAGAAGCAGTATATTATAATTGTGGTGAGCTAGACTACATAGGTTCAAATCTTAGCACTGTCACTTCCTAGCTATATGACCTTTGTCAAGTTTATTCTGTGTCTCAGTTTCCTTATGTATAAAATGGAGATTATCATAGTGCTGTGTCAGCATTGTTTTGAGGATTAAATCAGTTAATATATATAAAGCACTTAAATGATACCTGACGCACACATAACAAGCACTCAATAAATTTTAGCTATCTTGATTATTTTTAATGAATAATATGAATGAAAAGTAATAATATAATGAAGAAATGAATGAAGATCACTTAACCTTTTTTTTAAGATTTCACTCATCCATTTATTTTAGAGAAAGAGAGAGTACGTGTGTGTGCAGGGAGAGGGGCAGTGGGGGAGGGAGAGGGATAGGCAAACTCCTCACTGGGAGCCCAGCGTGGGGCTCAATCCCACAACCCCAAGATCGTGACCCCAGCTGAAACCAAGAGTTAGACGCCAAACTGATTAAGCTACCCAGGCGCCCTGACTCTATTTTTTTGAAGGCTTAATTTTTTTAGAGAAGTTTTAGGTTTACAATAAAATAAAATGCAGAGACTTCCCATATACTCCCTGCCCCCTGCATGTGTCTAGCCAACCCCATTATTAACATCACTCACCAGAATTGTACATTTTTTACCAAGGATGAACCTACATTGATACATCACAATCACCTGTAGTTTACCTTAGGGTTGACTCTGGGTGTGGGTTTGGACAAATGTATAATGATATCTATCCATCATTTTAATATCATACAGAATATTTTCACTGCCCTTAAAATTCTATGTGCTCTGCCTGGTTATACTCCCTGCTCTGCTCCAACCATTGATCTTTTTATTATCTTTTTATTAGCATGGTGTATTTTCCCCCAAACATTTACTTTTACTGTATATGTGTGATTATATTTAAAGTGGGTTTCTTATAGACACAGTATAATGGGGTCATGTTTTTGATCCACTGAGACAATCTGTCTTTTAACTGGTGTATTTAGACGATTGACATTCAAAGTAATTTTGATATAGTTGGATTAGTGTGTATCATTTTTGTTACTGTTTTCTATTTGTTACACTCGTTCTTTGTTCCTATTTTTATCTTCTCTTTTTCTACTTTTTGTGGTTTTAATTGAGGATTTAATTGATTCCATTTTCTCTCCTTTCTTAGCTTATCAGTTAGGCCTCTTTTTTTTTAACCTTTTTTTAGTGGTTGCTCTGGAGTTTGCAATATACATTTACAACTAATCCAGGTCTATTATCATGATAACATGATACCATTTCATGAATAGTGTATCTTATAATAAGATAATAATAATAAAATCTTAATTTATCCCTCCAGTCCCTTGTATCATTGCTGTCACTCATTTCACTTACATGTAAGCATACATAAGCATATATATATATATATATGTATATATAAGCATACATAATTGAGCACAATGTTGCTGGTATTTTGAACAAACTGTTATCTGTTAGATCAGTGAAAAATAAGAAAAAAGTTTTTATTTTGCCCTCACTTATTCCTTCTTCTCTGTTCTTCTTTTCTTTATGTAGATCCAAGTTTCTGACCAGTATTATTTTCCTTCTCTCTAAAGAACTTTTAATATTTTTTGCAAGGTCTACTGGCAACAAATTCCCTCAATTTTTGTTTGTCTGAGAAAGTCTTTATTTCTCCTTTATTTCTGAAGGAGAATTTCTCAGGGTACATAATTGTAGGTTGGTGTTTTTTTCAAAACTACTCTCTTGCTTTCATGATTTCATTTTTTTTTTTTTTAAGATTTTATTTATTTAGAGTGCAAGTGTCGGGGAGGGGTAGAGGGAGAGGGAGACTGTCAGCAGACTCCACACTGAGCGCATGGAGCCCTACGGAGGGCTCGTTCTCACCACGCT